GGTACAGGTAAAGCTGGTGTGGGTGGCCGGAAACACCGGGCTGGTGGGGCAGCTCACACCCAGGGGCTGCACAGACCTGGGGTCTGCACAAACCTGGGGTCTGCACAGACCTGGGGTCTGCACAAACCTGGGGTCTGCACAGACCTGGGGTCTGCACAAACCTGGGGGGACTGCACCCTCGGCTGGGAGCCAGAGCTATTGGTGGGCACTGGAGGGGTGGGAGAGAAGGAGTGGGCAGTGAGCAGGGAGAGGAGGCTCAGCCCTGGAAGGAGGGTTCCCAAAGCCCCCCGGCAGGGGGGTGATGCTGGGGGTCTCCCTGCTCTGGGTCTCTGTCCCCGTGCGGGGCTGGGTCAGGGTGAGAGGAGCTGGGTGCTGACACCTTGCCCTGCTCCCAGCCCCGGTGTGTTCATCGACGTCGCCCAAGCCACTGCAGCAGAGGTGCCATGGGGCCAGGCTGTGCCAGCGTCCTGGGCTGGCTCCTGCTGGCACAGGCAGCCCTGCAGGCCACAGGTACGTGTCCCTGGGCTGTGCAGGGTGGTGGGTTTGGGGTCTCTGGTGGGTCAGAGGGGTGAGCTGGGCTCCTGCCGCAGCCCTCGGAGTCTGCCCGGTCTCTCCTGTGCCACAGGCGGCCGTCCCTGCGATGCCAAGGACTTTGGGCACGGCTCACTGGTCTGTGCCTGCAGTGCCACGTACTGCGACACGCTGGACCCCCTGGTCCTGCCGGGCCCCGGCTCCTACGTCAAGTACGAGAGCAGCAAGGCCGGCAAGAGGCTGGAGCGGAGCGAGGGGAGGTTCCAGCACAACGCCGAGAGCCCAGGTACCGCCACGGCCAGGACCTGCTGCCCACCCGGGACAGAGTCCATCCCACGCGGTGGCAGTGACTCTGTGTGTCCCCCCCAGATTTCCACCTCACCCTGGACACGGCGCAGCGGTACCAGAAGGTGAAGGGCTTCGGGGGCTCCATCACTGATGCAGCTGCCATCAACATCCAGTCCCTGTCCCAGGCTGCCCAGAACCACCTGCTCCGCTCCTACTTCTCCGAGGAAGGTGAGCCCGGGGCAGGGTGGCACTGCTGGGTGACAGGGCTGGGGGTGCTGCGCCCCCCAAATACACCCTGGCAGTGCCCATCACCACCCACCCTGTCCCCAGGCATCGAGTACAACCTCGTGCGTGTGCCCATGGCCAGCACCGACTTCTCCGTCCGCCTGTACACCTACGCCGACGCCGAGGGGGACTTCGAGCTCAGACACTTCAACCTGACGGAGGAGGACACGAGGATGAAGGTGGGTCCTGCAGGAACAGCCCGAGGGACCAGGGCTGCTACCTGGGTGGGATGGGATGGGATAAAATCAAGTTGGGACAGGATGGGATTGGCTTGGGATAGGATGGGCTTCGGAAGGGGAGTATCTTCCTGCTGATGGGGAGAGAGAAGGACTCATTCTTCCATCTGGATGGGATGGGATGGGACAGGATGGGATGGGAAGAGGTGGAGAAAGGGGGTACTGTCTCACTGATGGAGAGAGAAAGGCCTCATCCTTCTATCTGGATGGGAGACAGGATGGGACAGAATGGGATGGGACAGGATGGGAAGGAATGGGATGGGAAGGGAATGGATGGGGAAGGGGAACACCTTCCTGCCAGTGGGGAGGGAGAGGCCTCATCCTGCCCCCTGGCTGAGATGGGATGGAATAGAACGGAATGGGTTGGGGTAGGGAAGGGGAGCACCTTCCCGCCTCTGGGGAGGGAGAGGAGGACTCCTGCTGCCTGCACTGCCAGTGCTGGGGCAGACCTGGAGAGCTCTCTGCCATCCCACTTCTCCCCAGATCCCCATCCTCCGGGCGGCCCAGGCGGTGGCCAAGCGGCCACTGTCACTCTACGCCAGCCCCTGGACCTCCCCCGTCTGGATGAAGACGAACGGCGCGATGACGGGGAGGGGGACACTGAAGGGCAACCCTGGGGACAAGTACCACAAGGCCTGGGCCAAGTACTTCATCAGGTGAGGGGCCACGGGAGTGTGGTGGGTGCCCGGGATGCTGTGCCGGGGCTGGGGCTGGCACAGGTGTGATGGGGCCGTTCACCGTCTGCCCCACACCAGGTTCCTGGATGAATATGCCAAGCACAACCTGACCTTCTGGGCAGTGACGGCAGGGAACGAGCCCACGGCCGGGGAGATTGTTTTCTACCCCTTCCAGTGCCTGGGCTTCTCCCCCGAGCACCAGCGGGACTTCATCGCCCAGGACCTGGGCCCGGCGCTGGCCAACAGCTCCCACCGCCACGTCCAGCTCATCATCCTGGACGACCAGAGGGTGATGCTGCCCTACTGGGCCCAGGTGGTGAGTCCTCATGGCAGCTTCCCCAACCCCACAGTGGGTCTTCTGCCCCCACGGCAGCACTCCCAGCCCCACAGCAGCTCTCCCAGTCCCACGGCAGCTATTCCAGCCCTGGGCACTGGTGACCCCTTTCTCCTGCCAGGTTCTCAAAGACCCCGTGGCCGCCAGCTACATCAGTGGCATTGGCATCCACTGGTACCTGGACTTCCTGGCGCCCATCGACCTGACTCTCTCCATCACCCATCACCTCTTCCCGGACTATTTCCTCCTCTCCACAGAGGCCTCCACGGGCTCCTACTTTTGGGAGCCCAGGGTGGTGCTGGGTGGTTGGGACCGTGGGAGCAAGTACAGCCACAGCATCCTCACGGTAGGGCTGGGCAGGGGCCAGGGATGCACCAGCTACCCCCTGTGGCTCAGCACCGGGACTCAGCTCCATCCCCTGCCCCACAGAACCTCAACAACTACGTGACAGGCTGGACTGACTGGAACCTGGCCCTGGACATGGAGGGGGGCCCCAACTGGAGCAAGAACTATGTGGACAGTCCCATCATCGTGGACAGCAGCAAGGACATCTTCTACAAGCAGCCCATGTTCTACCACCTGGGGCACTTCAGGTGGGTCAGGGGCTGCTGGCTCCTGGCACCGGCTCCAGTGCCATTCCTGGCACCATGCTCAGACCCTGCTTGTCCCCACAGCAAGTTCATCCCCGAGGGCTCGCAGCGTGTGGGACTGGCCGTCTCCAAGAAGTGCCACCGGTGTGACCTGGAGCACTCGGCTTTCCTGCGCCCCGACGGCACCGTCGTCCTGGTGGTCCTGAACCGGTGAGTGGCTCAGCCCTGCGCCCTGCTGCACGGCCCCACTGCTCCCACCGAGCTCCATCCCCTCTCTCATTCCCCTCAGCTCCCCCACGGATGTGTCCTTCGGGATCTCTGACCCCCGGATCGGCTTCATCGAGGCCACGGCTCCCAGTGACTCCATCCAGACGTTCCTGTGGAAGCAGCCAGCCTAGTGCAGCTGCTGGAGGAGCAAAGTGCCAGCACTGGGAGCACGGTGCTGGGGGGGGCTTGGGGACGGGACCCCCATGGGGCTGGGGCTGCAGCAGAGCCCCTGCAGCCCCCTGTGCCCCAGGGGACCTGTTTGATCCAGGGGCTGCGACGCCTGCGCTTTTCTAGATGTTTTCATAAAATAAACAGGTTTTCTAAAGCCTCGCCTGCACCCCCCCCCCCCTTGGTGCCAGCTCAGCGGGCGAGCTGTGCCAGGGATGGAGGGGGCAGGTTTGGGGCTGATGGCACCTCCTGAGCCCCACGGGGTCCTGCCCTGCCCTTCTCCTGAGGGCATCCTACGGGCTTGGTGCTCCAGGATGAAGGGGACTTTCACCCCAAGGGGTGGCATCTTCCTCCTGTCTGCAGCATCCCCAGGGCAGGGCAGGCCCCGAAGCTGGCAGGGACTGCAGACCAGGAGCAGCCAGGACCCGCAGTCGGGATTTAGTGCAAAGCCCTGGCGTCGGCAGCTCCGGTTTCTCCCCGGCCAGAGCAGGCGGCTGTGGTTTCTGCTGCCGGAGCAGCCATCAGCCCCTCCAGCTAATGGGAACCGGGAGCTTGGGGCACATACTTCCTGAGTG